GAGTGTCTGAATAGGAAAAGTGGTATTATTCTCAGAAATTACACATTTAAATACCCACAGAAGAGGGAAGTCATATCTCATTGTTGGTCAGCTTTTCACTTTGAAAGAAACACTGCATTAGAAGCCGTACTGTGGCATGATCCAAGAAGATAGGTGTCTCTGAAAATCAGTTCTGATGCTTTTTGTATGATCATCAGGGGTTTTCTATATGATCTCCAAGTGGTTTTCAGGCAGGGTTAGAAGACAGGTTTTCTGGTAGGGGTCGGGGTAGTTTTGGTTGTTCAGGTTTTTTGGGTGGTGTTGGGTTTTTTTTGTTTGTTTTTTTTTTTTTTTTTAGATTCTGGTTCTCAGTAAGCATGTTGTTTTGAGTGCAAAATAAATGTTACGACTGTTGAGCCTTGTCCTTCTTTGCTTCCCTTGTCATAGGAGTCCGGAGCCTTTAGGAATCTTTTTTTTTTTTTTTTTAAACTTCTTTCCTCTTAACCTTGGAGGCTAGAAACTTGCATCAAAGTATCTGTCTTCGCATGCATGCATGTATGTATTTATTTACAAAATAGACTATACATTTCCTGTAGAAACATTGGTCACTTTGCCAGTAGTGATCCTAGAGGAGGGCGACCGTACTTACCTCTGCAAACATGGACAACAGTAGTTCCAACAGTAGTATTTTTGTCAGTGGAGGGGTTATGAGTAGGCAACATGGTGTTTGCACAATATTACTGTGTTAGGAAAATAGTTTGTTTACCATATGAAACAGTTATTTCAGTGAGAAGCACTAATTTAACCCAGTAAATTTTTCCAGATAGTGATCTCCATTTGAGTCACTCTTGTGTGAAGGCTTATGGAAGCTTTGGTCTGTCATTGCAAAATGTGTCTCTCTGAGATACAATGAGCTTCAGGTTACTGAAGAAGTCATCATCTTAACTGGGAAAGGATAACAAAATGATTCAAACTCTGTTTACAGGAAAGTTGCTGAAACAAGTGCATTTGAGACTTTAATGTAGAGTTGAAAAATTCTTATTAGGAGTCCCTGTTGGTTTGGTTTCAGTATTATTCAGTGAAAAACCCACAAAGTATAACAACACATACAGTTAAACATAGTATAATGTGAGATAGTTAAGCAAATGAACCAGCTTTATATTTTCATCAGCTTATGATTTGGAAATGTGTTAAAGTAGCTTTGACTGTAGTGGCTGCCTTGAGTCATGTTAATAAAACTTTTTTGGAAGTTGGGTAATGCTGGTGGTTAGATTAGAAGTGAATGGAACTATAAATTTGAACCCACAGCTTTACGTTGTAACTTATAAATTAGGTTTCGGTTACTGTAATTCTGTATACGTTTATTTTGTGTCTAGCCCTCATATTCTCTACAGTGTTTTCCCAGTTTGAGACTGTAGAGACGTACAGGTTGCAAAACCTGCAAGACAGTTCACACTGTCTTTGGTTCTAAGTATTTGGTTCTAACTTAAGATAATAGGATGGGCAATTCTACTGGAATAATTAAGGCAGTTCTTTTTTTCCGCCTTTATCTGGTCAAAGTATGTGGAACACTGCTTAGTTATTTTTCTTGTTCAAAAATAGATGTTCCTACATAAAAAACTGCAGTAACAAACTTCTCTTTTCAAAATGGGGGGATTATTTTACTTAGTTATCTGTCCCTGCAGATTGCTGGCATGTGACACGTTGCAAGATTTTTTTACATATGCTGCCAGCAGCGGTCTGTAAGTTTGCTGCCTTATAGGTTGACATAAATATGACAAAAAGGAATTACTTTGTCTGTGGGGGTGTAGAGATGTGTGATGTGTTAGTAGAATTGCAAGGCTCCTTTCCTTGTGGTTGATCCTGGATCACATCAGTGGGCTGCAGCTGTTCTTAACCCATATTAAGTTTTCTCTCTTTTAATTTTTTTTCTTTTTTTGTAGCAGACTTGATGTTATGGGAACTCTTCAATAAAGTCATTCTCTTGGGATAAGTAACATTATACATCATACAAAAAAATGGCTATTGTCTTTTTGATGCCAATTTAGGAATTACTTAGAATTGTGAAGTTGTAACATCTGGTTTTATTGCTTGATGCATAGGAGATGCATAGGCTCGCTCTGATTTTTGTGTCTCATTTGCTCCATTCACATTCTAAGTCCCATGCTTCTTACCTCACATAGGGTATAAATGTTACATTTAAAGGTGTTAGTGGGTTCTTTAAAGGAAAGATCAACTTGCTAAGTTTTTGTTGGCGCATATGCTTATTTAGTTTTATTCTTTACAGCAAAACTTCATAATGATTAAATTTTCTTAGTTTAAGAAAAAGCAACGGCCATGTTGTGATCTATGGGTAAAATGCATCTTGCAGTTTTTGCATGTCCTTCATACATTACTATGTCTTGGATACATATTAGATGACTCTTAATTCTATTGTGGAAAAAAGCTTTTGAGCATGGAAGTAATGAGTCAATGAATGGACAGACCGTCCTGGTAAGGAGCTGTTGAGGACACTGTATTGTGTGAGCCTTTTGAAGGTAATATCCTAACCTGGACACTTTTTTCAAGAACTGGAGAGCTTGACAGTCTCAGTGAAAGCACCGTTTTTTTTTCTTGTGCTCTCAAGAACCATCTCCCTTTGCAGTGTAATTGTAGTATTTCAGCTCTTTCATTTTCCTTTAAATTTATAACTGTTTTTTACTCAATCTGTTTGCTATACACAGAATTTTTTGTCTTGCTGTTGTGCCGATCATATGTAGATTCAATGCCAAAGTACCCCTCTTCAAACAATTCAGTTTAACTGAACTGTATTAATCAGGAGACACTGCCCATTAGAAGGAGCACATAACTGAAAACTAGGGTGTAAGTTTGACGGTTGAATATAGCAAGATTTTGGGACATATGCACACAGTTTTTCTGCAGTCTGGTCCCTGGGTTATTCTCTGACATCTAATGCATATATAATGCTTCACAGGGTTTTTTGGTTCTTTTTTTAATCTTGGAAAAGGGGGATGAGGGGTCTCTCTTCTTTTTTTTTTTTTTTTTTTTTTTTTTTTTTTTTTTTTCCTTCCTTCTGTGTTAGCAGTCTTTGAAGAACAGTGTTTGTAAACTCACTTTGACTTTAAGGGGAAGGGTACAATTGTGTGACAAGTAACCAGAAAGATTCTTGGAGTAGGTTGCCATGTTAATTAGGGCTTAAGATTGGTGGTAAGAACAAGAAGCTGGTCTGTGAGTAGCTCTAAGACGCAGCGCTAGACCTGCCCAAGTGTGTTCGTGCAATGTTGTGCCCAAAACCAGTCAGTGCTCTAAACTCAGCATATTGGGAAGCACAGAGATGAGACGCTCAGCAGGCTGCACTGGAGCCAGTTTGGGTTGGGTTTATTTATTAGTTTTCTTTGTGCCAGATCTAGGCTGGCTTCAGCCAGAGTCACTCAGTTTTCTCTGTTCTGGGCTTGTTAGTGCTTCCAGTAAAGTGAATGTTATCCGTGGAGACTGAGCTGCCTTTGTCTGAAGCCAGCTTAGGTCTGATGTCTTACCAGCTCCGGCTCTCTGCCACATGAAAGCAGCTAGATTGTTTCCAGCCATAAATTGTCTCTGGAAGCTGTGTAGGTATATTTATGTAGTTCTGCACCTGAGCTAATAAGTCCAACTGGATTATAGCAGATTTTTGTATGGAGCCGGCACAGTGCTTGCATCTTGTCATGGTTAATGAGAAATTTGCTAGAAATGTATATAGATAATTGGGAATTGACTGTATTTGACTTCTCTCTATATATTCTGGTGTCTAATGCAGTTTTACGCCCCGATATACTCTGAAGTTACAAGCCTGATGAAACTGTAATCACCTAAATTTAGATAATTAAAATTATTGTCATATATGAAATTACTACTCTACCCTTAATTGGTTTAGTGGTGGACTTGGTAGTGTTAGGTTAATGGTTGGACTGGACGATCTTAAAGGTCTTTTCCAACCTCAACGATTCTATGATTACAAGCTGTTACATTAGTTAATTGTGTTTTTCCTTTTTTCCTAACTGGGATAACACATTTCAGCTTAACTGGTGCTTGGTTAGACCTCTTCTACCTCGTTCATCTGCTTCCTTGCCATTAAGGAAAAATGTCAACAAATGGGAGGCATAGTATAATGACTTCTGTATATATGCAGAAGGTTATCACCAGTGTGTTTTCCGGTCGAAGAAAACTTTGATCCAATAAACATGCACTGTACCATTAGACCACAGCTGTATGTCCCAAAGCACATTACAGGAGTGGAAAAGGGTGTGGGAGAAAAACAGCAGGTGTGAAAGTGTTCGTACATAATAGGAGCATTCATGACCTGTCTGTCTTCATCATCAACAGGTTGCAGGGGATAGCTACAGAAAGCACTGAAGCAATAAGTGGTTGTTTGCTGGAGCTCTTTAGTTTCTTAAAGACAAACCTGTAAAAATTACAGGAGTTTTTATTAGGAGTCCAATGAGCAGGCACCCTGTCAAAAAAGCATAGGTAAATTCACTTATTCCTTTGACAAAAGGCTAAATCAGATGGACTAAATAGAAGATTACGTCATGCAAAGGAGTTACTGTGCCATTCACTGAAGATGTTCTTGGTTTGAAGAGAGTTGCATCCAAGGATCATTCCTGTGAGAATGATTAGTAAGTGGATTCTTTGAGAGAGAATTGCAGGATCTGGGTAAAGATGACAAGTCAGAGACAGTCTCGCTGTTTCTTCTCACTATTTCTGTTTTTTCTTTCTATACTTAACTCTTTTTGGTTTATGACTTTGTGCACTAGAAATTTCAGGGAAGTTGTGAGAAAAACTGCTGACATTGTTGAATTTTCGTGTGACTCAGTGACACTCTTTTAAAAAAATAAAAATTAAAAAAAGCAGATGCCTGTCATGCTGCTTTTTTTTTTTTTTCTTTTTTTTTTTTTTAATTTGGCTGTGATGGTGTAAAATAATGACAGAGTTTCTTCTCAGTGATATCTGTATTTTGACTATTCCCCATCTTAAAATTTCTTTAGGTTGTGGGGAGCACCTCGTCCGAACCATACTGGCCAGAGAATGTTCATGTGCTTTGCAAACGGAAGATGCCCACCAAGCTCTCCTAGAGACTATGCAAAACAAGTTTATTGGTAAGTATATGGTGCTAATTGCCTAAACATTGCTTAACGTTGTTTAAAATGCAACTAACCTTATTAAATAAAACTAAGATACTTATTTTTGTGATGTCTGTTGAACCCTTCTGTTGCAGTGGGCTTCAAATTTGGTGTTGTATTACATGTAAAGCATGTTAAACTATAGAATATTTTAAGAAATCTAAAGGAAAACCCTTGGAAATATCTCAATTGTTATGTGAGTCATAGAATACCCGGAGAGATTTGAAGAAAGAACTTCCTGCCTGAATCACTGGCTGTGGTGTACAATTGCATATTTTAGAATTGGTGGTTTAGGAGCGCTAATAAAAATTATTCATGTTAACCCTTTTAAATATAGTAGAACTCAAAACCACTGCATGTTCTAATTAAATGCTTTGGATGGACAGATTCTGGTTTGCTATTTACATGATGAAATTGATTTCTTGAGAAAGTGAAGTAGACTTCACTGAAGGCTACTGTAAGGTAAAAACAATTTTTTGCTTTGATTTGAGAGGATTACATGACTACTTAGACCTCTCTAATTTTTTGTGAATATGAATCTTATTTTCTTTCTTCAAGTCATAACCAAAATATGACTATGGAAATTTAAAATATCTGTATACATTTGAATGTTTGAAGATAGCATAGATTCCAGTGAGGCTTCTGACATATATGTTTACTTGCATTGCCTTTATAGCCCTTAAAATTTTTTGAAGCTTTAGTATCCACAGACAATTTTGACCTTCAAAATGTCTTGCAGACAAGACTACATAACACTTGTTGAGACTGTGTTGCCAAAGTTCATTTCTATAGTATTTTAATTAGAACTGAAAGAGGGACACATGCATACCTTTCTGGGACCCAGGAACCATTCTCCTTGGTCTTGGCAAGAAATGGGTTGCAATTTCTTTATTTCTGTTTATAATGTTGAATCCATATTAAACTGCTTCTGACAACATTACATTGGACTATTTGAGGGGAAGTGACCTTCTCATTGGAAGGCTGCACTTGATAATTTAGTTGCGAAATCAGACTAAAACCAACAAAACAGGGGAAAGTGAAAAGAATGAGAGACAGTTAATGCTTTTCATAATATGAAAATTTGAAGAGAAGTGTTTTATAATTCCTTTTTAAAATTTCATGTTTTAATTAGTGATGGGTCATACCTGTATTTCCAGAAACTTATTACTGTAGGTTTTTGTTATCTGACAGTAGGGATGTGTATTACTTTCTCAGTGCTACTCTGGGGCAGTGTTGAAATGGAGAGAGGAAAAAAAAAAAAAAGAGGGGAAAAAATGCAAGATACAGCCACCTTTTTTGTGTAGGTGAAGTGCTCGAATTCTGTGTCTTGATTAGCAAATGTAAAATTTGGTTTGCCCTCAGCTGTCCTACAAATGAAGACTGATTGAAGGAGACCTGAGAATCCAGATACATCTTGCTGTTTACATGTGACATAGTACTAAGTTTGTAGCTAGTAGTGTAATTTTGGGGGATCTTGGTAGTTCCGAAGATGGAATGCAAAGTTACGTCTTGCTAATATAATGCAACAAGTGAAAAAATGCATTACACTTAAAACATTAGGTTTATATTAGATAGTTTTTTTTTCCTCTGATTTTTTTCATAGATGTTGATGTGCTAGTTGATAGCTCAGGATTTATGGTACGATGCAGGATTTCTTACCGGCATGAAACAATAGGATAAAACAGGCTAATAGCCTACTTGCTGATGGCATGGATTCTTCCCTTGCTACTCTTTCTAAAAGCTCTGTTTTGTGGTCATGTCAAACTTTCACCAGAATTATAATGGACCAAGGCCAAAAAAAAAAAAAAGCCTTAACAAAGCAGAGCTAGAATGTTTTGTCAGAAGTCAGAATGTGCATATACTTGTATTGGAGGGATGAACAGCTGATTTTGGCAGTTGCCATGGGATTGGTGCTTCCTGTTTACAGAACTCTCCCAAGTCTCCACAGAGCCCTGGGAATCCTTCCAGCTAGGGAATGCCTGGCTTAAACAGTGAGTGCTGTTTAAACAGCAGGTGATGGGCAAACTAATGGCAGATGTGCTTCTCTCATCCTTTCTCAGAGCCAGCTTACTATGGATAATGCACAAATGATGGTTGCATTGGAGGTGAGAGAAGTTTTTAGAGTTTTTTTTTTTTTTTTTTTTTTTTTTTAGTAAATCAAATGGGCTTGATATCTTTAGTTGAAGAGCGCTAAAGGCTTGGTACGCAGTCGAAGAATGGTGTTGTGTAAACACAAATACCTTCCAAACAGAAGAACAGAGGATTTTGTTACTCATCATTCCTTTCAAATGTGGCCAAGTTTGTGGAATGTAGACTTAGAGTAAATGTTTGTGTCATCTCACTGGCGGGAAATCTGGGCTTTTAACAATGGCAACGTTACGAATTATACTTTAAAGCTTCTTACAAAGTATTAGAAAATAATGAGCTGAAAGACATAGTTGGAATCTGATATTTGTTCTTTCCTTAGCGGAAATGTGTTTGTCTATTCTTGTATTTTTAAGTTGTGCGTCAGTTCACAAATGAGCAATGTCTGCAGAAAGGTAATAGAAGAAGGATAATGCTGACACTTTCTCGTTTGGAAATTTTGTGCCAAATACCTCTCTTGGGAGCAGAAGTTTGGGCAGATAGGAATCACGGAATATGAATTTCTCAGTTATGAGTTATGCTTGTTGGGGGGGAAAAAAGCCTCATACTTAAACAGTTACAAGACTGCCAGTGACTGTCGTTGCACAGTGTTATTGTTACTTTATGTTTTGGCCCTGCATCACTCTAAGCTTTGTAGTATTCTTTGTCGTTTTATAGTGGAGGAAGCGTGCTATGGAAGCATTATTATGTCTTCTCCATGAAACGGAGGAAAAGATTTGAGGAGAAAATGAAGTGATCCTGTAGTTTCATATAGCCTATTTTATCCACTGCAAGTTTATGATTTCACGAGTTTGTATTTGATGGTAGACAGAATGGAATGGCCTATTTGTTACCTGTACAATAAAACCAGCTGGAAAACTAACAGGACGTGGTGCTTTTACACAAGGGTTTGCCTAGGTCCTGACTGTGCTTCTCCTTATCAAAAGCACTGGGATTTTATTGGACAGCGGTATCCTCAGTTATTTAATTTCTTAAAATCTGACCGGTAAAGTTTGAAAGTACAGGTGCTTTTCCTTGCAGCTTCTTTAAAAATTCTAAACAGATGTTTTAAATTACTTATCATAAAATATAAAGATCTCTGGTGTCAGACAGCTTGCGCTTAAACATTTAACAAATAATGGTGCATGAAATTAAAACCAGGCTTCATTTAGTGCTTATATATTCCTCTAATGTTTATTTAAATTGTTAGCTTGAAGTTTAGTGCGATACATAGCAGAAGCAGAGTGGCAAACAGCTTCACTTTAAACATGTTCTGTACACACGCTGACAAAGTCCAATGGCATAGGTGAGCTATGGATTATTGACCTGAAGAAGTCTGAATTTCACTCACATTATAACATGAGAAGGTTTAGAACTGTTTAGCTGCACTCTGTTAAAACTGGGGAATGGTGAAGCACTTAATTGGTTACACCATGCCCCAGTCAGTGTTTAGACCAAAGTTCTGAAGACTTTGAAAGCTAATGTAAACAATGAAGCTGGTAATAGTTTCTCTGCTGTGGAAGAGTATGAATGTAAAACATCTGATGAACAGCTGGGTAGTCCTTCTGCTCGGTAAGTGTAAATAAAACACTTCTTTTACAGTTTAGTATCAAACCTGTGCTGGAATGGATCTGTCCGGATCATTGGGAAATGAACGACTCTTAATGATTGCATGCTCTGGAGGAAGCAATCTTCATCATGGGAGCAGTTTAATTTACAAGAGACATAGAAGTAAAAATGTTCTTCGCTTGTAGCTGTAGTTGCTCCAGAGCAAGGGTGAAATGTTGAGGCCGTTATTTGCCATAACCCTTGTGAAATCTGTATGCTCTATCCCTGGTCTGAGGCTGAACCCAGGTCTTGATGTTCAGTTGCGGTTGCTCTTGCAAAACTTGATGAGAACTGTGAATGTGGAGCTGCTATGGATATATGTTTGCTTGTTTTTAAGAGGCTGTTACTACAGATTAATAATGTACAAAATAAATAAAAACTTGATAATGCTTTCTATATGTCAATTAGCAATAACAGAATAATTGAGCTTTGAAGGAGGGAAATGTGTATTGTAAAATATGATTTTGTGACTGGGGGGAGGTGAGGATTAAACCAAAACTATTGAAAGATGGTTTTTGTTTGGTTTTTTCCTACCCCTTCTCTCTGGTGGGGCCAGTCAGTGCTAACATCAGTTAATGCTGTAGCTGAAGTTTTGCTTTGGATTTTTCATGCCAAATTCTTCAGTGTTATGCCAGTGTAACTGGGAAGGAACGATGAGTTTCATGAGACATAAAATGCTATTAAAAGCCCCAGGTTTTTGTAGTTTTGTCATTAACAAGCTATTAGATCAAAGATTTGTCTAGGAATTCTGTTTTATTGCAGTCAAAAAATTATTTTTGGCTAGTCGGCATATTTTGTTTTATTTTTACTGAATTTTTAGTTGTACAGCAAGACGTATCATTCTTAAGAGCAAAAATCATGTCGGGGTGTGGGAGCCAGATTACTTTTTCCTTCTAATGAGCAACCATTACGACTTTAATATACATGGCCATATTTCAGTTGCACCTTTACTGTTCCTGTTTAAATACTAATTAAATATAATGTATATGAAAAAATGCCATTACCTATATTGTTATTTTTTACAGGAGTCTGCACTATTATTTCTTTTTCTCAATGGCTTGGCTGTAGCAAAATGATTTTTTAGAACTGAATTAATGAAATATGTTCCTGACCTTCAAATTCACAGTGTTTTGAGAACACTCAGATTCATTCCTGTGTACAGTGCATGGATTCTGTTTAGAAATAAAGTATAATACTACTTTTGTACCATTATTTTTACAGATTTAATAATGGATGCATAGCATTCAGCTGTCTAGAATCTTGCTTAACATAGACCTACTCATTTGCACTGTATTGCTGTGTTAGAATACACTCTTTAGCATAACTGTAATCCTCAATAATAAGTCTGCATATCCAGAAATATCTTTGTTTAAAAAAATATTAATATATTTGAATCCCTCTTCTAACTTTTTAAAATTGCTTTAATTGGAAAATGAAATACGTTCTCTGTTTTAAAGAATGTGCTGTTCAGTGTGTATTTAATTTGGCTTAGAGTCTTGATTTTTAAGAGAGGAGAAACCAGTCTGTCTGAATTTACTGTAGTGTAGAATACTGTAATGTTAGTACTGTAGGCAACTTTTTTTTACTGCCACTATTTAGAAATTGATTCCCCACAACTTAGTGCAGTGAGTTAGAGACACATTCCATATTGTTGCTGATTTTGCACGGAGACAGCTTAGCTGAAACTGCTGGTGAAAGCAATTGGAATGGATGAGGGAGTAGTCACACAATTTGCTTTGGATGGCTCCGTGGATGGCAACCTCCAGCAGAAGTGGGGAAACAGATGGCCCGTGGAAGTGGTGCGGGTGAGAAGGTCATGAACTATTGCAGGGGTTTTGCAAGTAACTGTGTTTTCATTTGCTGCTCGTGTCTAGAGGCGGGAAGAAGGGATATGTTCTTGTTTCAGACCTTTTTATCTCCTTTCCAGAATAATGCTCAGTCTGCAGCTGATGGTAAAATGGTGTAGAAGATTAAAATTTGGCTGTGGATTATGCTTTTTTAAAAAACAAACAAACAAAACCCCCCCAAACCCCCCAAATCTTCAATAGCTCAGCTGAAAATACTAAATCTCAGTAATTTCTTGAGTTGCAACTGTATTTTGGCTCAATCTTTGTTGCTACAGCTCCAAAGCATGGCTGGCTGCAACAAGAAAGCCATCACAATGCCATTGTTTTCATCATTGTGTTGTAGTATATTGGTCAAGGTGCTGCAAATGAGGACAGCCTGTAGGTTCTGGGTTTTGATGGTGTGCACCACTGGGCAAGTAACGCTGTGTTTCCATCTGTAGGAGAGAGAGAATGCATCCTGTCGTCTTTGCTTTGTTTGCATAACAAACTTTTAAGACATTCCCTGGCTTAATACTCCATTCAGATTACCCACTGCAAGTTCTCTAAGCCATTTTACTCATCTCTGTATCACCCCAGTGCTACAGTTGTGGTTGATTCTTACAAAGTTAGTGCAGTAAGACCTGGTCTTGTTTGGTATAACCAACATTTGTCCTTACTCCAAGGGCCCAACTTGTGTTCTTCTTAAAGAAGCCAGCTTCTTGCTTATCTGGTGTGTTTTATGAGTGCTGAAGTTAAAACTATACTTTATCATGCTTTTATCATGCGCAGTGCTATTAAATTAATCCTCTTCTGGAGTTTTCTAGTTGAAATAACAGTAGACTGGCAATGTGCTTCAGGAAAGGTTGAATTAATACAGTCAATTTTCTAGCTTTTGAGTGTTTAGCATGCACTTCAAAGCCTTTGAATTTTGTGGACTGGTAATAAAGCTTCCATGTTGCATAATCATTGAAGGAAGTAACTTGGTTCAGAAAACAATTGTGTACATATTTAGGGCAATACGATGGACAGCATGTTTAAAGTAAGTAAATAAATAAATGCTATTTATGCTGGCAGAACTGGGATTCTCATGAGCATAGCTGTACATGATAGGTAGAACATCTTTTTGGATTAAATTGTAAGCTTAAGAGTTTGTCTTACGTGCTTGAAGCCCAAGTTTTAAATTATTTTCTTAGAGCCCTTTTTAAAAAAAGTCTCACAAAACACATACTTTGACTGATTACTTTTCTCATTCTGTAGTCCACTGAAGAAGATAAATGTTTTGTTCCTGCAAAGAAATCCCTGTAAAAATGAAAGGATTCTGACGAAAATGTAGCATTACGTGTTTTGCTGCAGACAGACTCTTTACATGGAAAGAAATATACTGCCAAGTCTTCTCTTAAAGTTTAAAAAGAGAGAGCCTAACATGTGCAAGTTGTTCAGATTATTGAAAATTTGATCATTGATGATGGCACATAGTTGACAGCAATACTGGGAAAATGAAGAAATTTGTGACTGGTATATTTACAAGCTTTTCTTTCATTTACTCTTACCCGAGTGTGGAAGGAAGAAAAACACTAAAAAAAAGTAAGCGATTAACCCAATATAATAATTTCTAGAACCAGACGTTAGTGGCATCAAGTCTGTAATCAGTAGTTGCTGTCTGTTTTTATGCACATTTATACAGTCTTAGTGTTTTAATATGGCCTTAAATATTCTATCTGCTTTAAATAGCCAGTTTGCTGGCTGCGTTCCGCTGAAGTAGAACATTTTTAACCATTCTAATTAAAGAGATGATTAGTATTTTTCACTAGAACCTTGAAAGAACCAGGAGAAGCACTGCTTATGTAAACAAACAAACAAACAAAAACCAAACCAAAAAACCAAGCCAGTAAAACCCCAAAAGTTTTTCTGTCTCTTTGCAATGACTTCACCACAGCATGGCTTATAGCCTGAGCAATTTGTGCAATTGAGTATAAGATCAGGTCTGCAGACCAAGTTCAAGTTAAGACATTGTCTTTGAAGTACCTGAGTCTCTGAGATAAAGATTAAAGGATGCATGTTCCCTATGAAGAAAACCATTTTTTTTTTTTGTTCATTTGCTTGCAAAAATCATACCACATACTTAAACAGCATTTGGTTAATGCGGTAAAAGTATAAGAGAGAAACTTAACATCTTGGAAAGCATGGAGTAAAAGATTTTGATTTGGGTGGTAGAACTCTTTACAATTTTCGAAGCCTTGCATTTCTATTTTAACCAAACATATTTTCCTGTTTTGTTATCTATTATGTTACCATTGGCTGGATTCTTGGTTCACAGGGATCTGGTCGCAAGCCATGAGTAATACAGTAGGTGTAATTTGCACCTAGTAATAGTTCTTGTGCTAAGCAAATGGCACTTTAAAGAAAATATCTGTTTGTATTAGGTCAAATAAGATATTACTGTTTATTAAGCATGCTACATTTGTTATCCTCCTTGTGATATGGGCTTCTGTTGCTATGACCGCCTTGTATCACTTCCAAACATGGCTGCTTTTATGTTGCAAGAGAACATGGTAAAGCTTTTAGTCTTCCTTACAGCAAAGTTTGAAGTTGGTTCTTATTGGGTTTTTTTTGTAGTTGTTATTTGCATTAAAGGAGTAATTTTAATCATACGAATAGCTGTGGGCAAATTGAAGGAGGCTGATGAGTACATCTGCTCTAAAGCTCTTGTGGCCAGCAAATCCTTTTACAGTGTCTGTGCACTAGACATAATATGTTGATTTATTTAAAAGAAAATAATTGAAAAGAAATATATGAAATGCCTGTTGCAATTGTATGTTCAACTTTAAATCACAGTGTATTGCAAATGTGTGACTAGGGTCTATTTGGGCTTAAGTGCAAGGACTTGGTTAATTTTGTGGCTCAAGACATTTTAAATCCTATGTAAATCATACCATTGTTTCCACATTTAAAACTATAGGAATCTCATTTCAAATTACAAACCAGAAAAAGAATACTTCGGCTTGATTCCCTTCCAACCCAAACTATTCTATGATTCTATGATTCTGCTAACTTTAAAACTTTTCCAGCTTCTGATAGAAGATGTTTTATATCATATGTGTTAAATTAACAACAGAAAAGCCACTTTAAAAAGTAGGATGTGTTTTGGCTTTTCTGCTAATATTCATAAAACAGCAAGGAAGACAGTCTATAGCAGTTTGATGATGTCTCTGTACAAAGTGCTTTAAATTGGGAAAAATGAATAAACTGTAAAAGTGACCCAAATTTGCTTGATTTTTTTCATATGTGGCCATCCTTATATTAATTATAGTACAGAAAGAACTAAATATTGAGACATGATTTTTTTTCAACTTGACAGTCCATTTTTCATTGTTACATCTTCCTTGATCCAAGAACCAATGGTTTTGCACTCACAAATTCAATTTCCAATTTTTTTTTTTTTATTTATTCCATGGAGCTCTTTTTCCTTTTCTGATTACTAGTAGATTAGTAGATTGCTATTTAGAAAGTTACTTATTAGAAACACTAGAAAAAATAAAACGGGTTGACCTGACAGTCTTTTCAACACTTAGTGACAAGATTAAAGGGGGAAGGCAGGAAAGTGAAATAAAAAAAATACCCAAGAAAATATTCCTGTTGCCAATAATTCTCCCCATCAATTTTATGCAGGTTCACCTTTTCTAGCCAATGAAGAAGGTGTACTCGGAGGTGTGATAGTTCTTCGGTCTTGCAGGTGTTCAGCAGAGCCTGAATCATCACAGGAAAAGCCAACTTTACTAGGTAAGAAATTCTTACTAATTTTTACTTGAGCTAGGAGCTAACTCAAAGCGAAAGATGAAATAGAAACTGTCTGTGCGTGTTTGCCCTTGTTCAAAGGCCACAGAGAAAACAAAAAGGAATTGAAATTGTTTGGGATTATAAAATTCTAGAAAGTGAAATAGTAGGATTAGCCTTGTTCTCTAAAACTGCGGAAAAGAGCGTTCCTTCTGACTTGTCGTTTCTGAGTGGAATTGTGATTCAGAGGGTTGTGTGGGATCCTTCAAAAACCATGGCATAGGAGTAACGGTTGCTTATGGTGAGACAGGGTATGCCTCTCATAGAAAGAATTGCATTTTTACCTAGGGATAATGCGTATGACTGTTTACTGCTTCTCAGTGGTTTATATGCTAAAAATGGTATCTAAAAAGTTCTTTGTTCCTCCTTTTTGCAGGATAGAAGGTGGAAATTTGGAGGATAGACATAAAATTTGGAAGGGAGGTTGGTTTATGTTTAGAAATTTTCTGTTATGCCCAGGAAAATCTGTTCAGATAAGTCGCAGTTACTATTTGCATATGCAGACAACAGGAGTACTTGCTATTTATATTGAGATCAGCAGAAGACTGTACTTTGCCTCCATCAGTAGCTGAGTGGTTTTAAAAGGCTCTGACCTTTACAGCCCTTCAGCCCTGTTTATGTCCTAGAAACAAGGTCCTCATCTGTCTTGCTGCTTTGCAATGGAACAAGTGTATTGTAGTAAACTGTCATGCGGTTTGTCATAAACAGCTAGAAAACTGAACGCTGTAGGCTACTAGCAGAGGTGGTGGAAATACAACCCAGAGACAGTAAAGCCCGTGTTCCTCTTTGAAGGCGGGGATTTGGGACTGGGGGCATATGAATTCCTTCAGCGTGACACTTGTACCAACTCCTTTCCTGTGGTGCTCCTCAGATGTGGGCATATGTGTCTGGTCATGCTATGTGCTTATATATTGGGTCACGTGGACCTGTCTAATGTATATTTATGTTATGCTACCGGAATTAAAGGTTTTTTCCTTCGTATAATCCTCTGCTTTATGGTTGTTTCCCCAAGTGTTTCATGAATCACTGTCAGTAGCGTTATGGGTTTGAAGTAGCTTTCATGTCTTTTAAGATCTGACATGACAAATTTGATCACCTAATTTAACTTTGTGTATTAAGGCAGGTGATAGCATCTTGCCTGGTAATTCTTGAACTGCATAATTACTTTTTAATCTATAGGCTATTGTTTAGAAAGACACCTCACCTTTGTTTTAATTCATTACTGCTTTTGTCCCGCTAAATCCTAACATTGTGTCACCAGAGTTTGCCTGCTTGCAGACAGCTTGGAGTAGCAGGCAGAGCATGTGCTAAAGGTGAGCCAGCAGATATATTCTTAATGATGGGTTAACCCACACAAACTTCAGTATTTATTGCTGTCTATTCAGTGACTTCCAGGATGGCAGGGTCAAGTTACTACAGTTGCACAGGATGAGGTGTATGTTACCTTTCAGTTTTGTTCTTGTTCTCGTATTACACCTTGCTGGTTTGCATTACAAGAATCTTTAGGTATTGTGTACTACTTTGTGTTGGTCGGCTTGAGTCTGATTGTATCCCCCGCTCCAGTCATCCACTCTAATAAGTAATTTTGCTCAATACAGTTAATAACATTCATGTTTCTCTACCCAACAGCTGAAGTTTACGTGTGTTTTATGCTTTTGGTCAAAATCTGATCTTATCCAGAAGACAAAGAACCAGACATTTGGGAGGTGAATCCTTGCAATTCCAATGATGGTTTTGGAAGGCTTGGATGGGAAAAGGTTTTAGAAATAGCTTTTGTATGTTATTTTGGAGGGAGTTATTACTTGAATAGCTTGTCTTTTTGAAGAATTAGACTATCAAATAGACTTTGACAATCATCTTACTCTTGCCTTTCAACTATTTGAAAGCCAAGACTGTCTAATCCTGACTCCAGAATCAGGGCATGGGTTGCTAAACATGCAGAGAATGTTGCAAGTTTGATTTACAGTTTTCAGATTTAAGAATGGAATAATTGTGACATGATTGATTTAGTGGAAAAGCATCCTACAACGTAAATTCTGTTCCTAAAAAGGAGTTAAGAAAATGAAAATACAAGTTTGATTAAATAAGAACAAACAAGATCAACTTAACCTTCAGTTTCTTATGTTTGGAAGTGAGAGAAATATTTCTATTCATTTAATGCTTGTCATTCATGTAAGAAAGCATGTACCTATTAAGGAAGATTTTGTATTTTTTAATCAAAAATTAATAAAGAAAATCTCCATATATCGTACATCAGAAGTAAAGACTATATGTCCATTGATTTTTGGTTTTCTTTCCACTCAAATAAGATTCAGGTAGCATGGCTTATTCTAAAGGTATTTTTTTTTTCTGTACCACAGAAATTTCCTGCCTTATAGTGTATGCTGAATTAATGTATAATTAAACATATGTAGTATTTGGGTTGTTTGGATTGAAGATAAGTTGTGTAATACTGACGAACTCAGTGTATAGAATAATGGAATCTCATGTCTTTATTGCAGGGATGATCCTTTTTTGATCCTTTTTGTTTGTTTTAACTATTGAAACAAATTGCAAGAAAGTGATTTATTAAATGGTTGAAAATATGTGAAATGTTTTCAGATAACTATGTAACTTAGGTTTTTCATTGTAATTCCAGTACTTGTAATAGCTAGCAATAGCCATGTGTTATGCTAGTATGTGCTACCTTTGGTAGACAACGTAGAAGAAAAAAATTATTAAAAACTTAAAAAAAAAAAAAAAAAGCCTAGAGTTATCAAAGGCAAAGAAATAATATTTTGAGGGTATTTGGCCTGAACTATTGCCCAACTTCTCCAAATTGAAAGGCAAGATTAAATTGGTCTCCAAAAAATAATTTCACTTACAGTTGAACCTTTAGGGTGTTAGGGAGGGGTTGGCCTCATCGAATGCAGTTACGTTGCACTGATTATGTTTCACCGTCTGAAAGCTTTTGACTAACCTTTGGCAATATCAGTCATGAATCTATTACCGGGGAGCAAAGTGCATACCTAAATGAAGTTCATTTTTCTTTTATGATGATATCTACATATCTGTCAGAATCTTCAAGTCTTGCTGGGATTGTCTAAACTTTGATCTTCTACTCTGGGTTAATTGCTATGCAAGGATAAATGGTTCAAAGGATAAGCATACTCAGCATGCTGTGACCTTTGTCAACCATGTTAAAGGAACATGAGGAGTAGGAATGAGTAAGTTTTAAAACCATCTAATGAAGCCTTTTGCAGTATGTGAAAGTCTCTAATGAAATATCTGGAAATAGCTTTTCACGGCATCTTGTGTAATTCATGTAAGACTCCTTCTGTAATCCAAAGGAAAAATTTATAGTTCAGGGCAATTTTTTAAACCTTTTACAGTATTCTGTGAAACACCCTGAATTCTGGTCAGCTACTCTTTCTTTCTTTTCCCCCCTTCCAAATTATGTACTTAATGAACACAAAGACAAATGGCTGTGACATAGAGCAGGAAGAATACAGCATGGTAATTTATAAAGCTCCACTGGATGGGAGCTAAATGTATGAATAATGTGCTCTTTGTCTGAATTTTGAGTTGCAGCTGAGTAGGGGTGTGTGTGTATATATAAAGATACCTGTGTGTGTATCAGGGAATTAAAGATCACTATAATGGGCTGTTTGGACAGTTGATAAATCGGACCGCTTTCAGACTTCAGAACAACACCTTACTGCATTAGCATGCATTAACAATACACGTCAGCAGTGGTTAGTTTTCTTAATCATTATCACTACACACACAACAGTTGGCCTTTAACATTTACATCCTAAATTAGCTGTGCGTATGCAGTACCAGAGAGCTGATGCTTTATAGCCAGTGCTAGAAGTCAAGGTGATCAGACCTGAGAGTGCTTTGATGGGGAAGCCAAAATCAAAATGGGCTCATTTCTTCTCCATCTTTCTTTCTCCATCCTTTCTTTTCCCAAAGAAAGGGGATGATTGCATATGCTCTCCATGTAATTCAGCGTACTTTTGGGACCAGGTCTTGCTCTAATTTTGCCAGGCATCTTCCTTATTGTGCGCTGTTATTCTGCTTCCATCGGACATCTCTCCTGCTTCTGCAGGATTATTTTGCTTTCACCAGATGTCTTTCCTGCCTGCTTTATATCTTCAGTTCTCATCTCGCAGACTTTACTACTTCTGCATGTTTTCCTGTATCCTACTTGTGCAGCTAAACAACAAATCTCCATTTACCTATTGGTAGTTACATATTATGTATACATCTATGCTCTGTTCTGTGAAAAAATGCTTGTTAGTGGTTAAGCTGTTGATAGTGCTACAGTTCTACAGAATCCTTGTATGCCATCTGGGTTTATGCTATTGTAGTGTGCTTATGTCTGGGTTCAAGACAAATGCAAATTATATCTGCTTCTACTTTATGGGTGGAACAGGCCTCTGCTTTAAAAGTTGGTCGTATCTTTTAACTGTAGTTGCAGTTGATGTATTTCTCATCTTGGAGGCTCCATATCATTGAAGTAATGTTCTCATTCTGGGTATTAGTTCTGCAGTGTGTGACTGCAAATAGTGCAGGAAAATCTTGTTTGTTTGATAGCTGTTTCCTTTGAGATTGAATTATTCTGGTAAGTAGTTTTTGTTCTTTAAGTTTGCTTGTTGTCCTTTCCCAAACTATATTTTAAGTTATATTCATTTCTCAAGATTCCAGTCTTGTTAAACTACATCTTAAATTTTAAACCAATGCATTTTTTGTGACTTCTTGCATTTTCCTTTATAGTGGAATTTCTGTGGAGCCATACAACAGAGAGCATGTGTGTAGGATATATGTCTGCACAGGATGGCAAAGCTAAGGTAAGCTATGAAGAATAGGTTGTTATACAGTAGAATGAGTGCAGAAGCTGAGGAGAATATGAAATAATGGTAACAAAATATACAAGTAATTTCTGCCTTACGAGAAGGGAAAAAATAATGGGTGCATAAGCAGTTAAATGTATCTATTGATTGGGCATTTCTAATCCCTTTTTTATTAATTGCAGCAGTTAACAAACCTACATGCAGCAGTTAATAAACCTATGCTAATGTATGTAAAAGGTGCCACAAACATATGTCCATTCCCTCTGCTGACATTAATTGTATTTGAATAACTTTATCCAGCTCGGTTCAGTTTTACTGGCTATTTAGGGTGGTACGGAATTTTTCTGTGGGTATGTCTTCCTTCAGATAAAGCAAGTTGCACCATCAAGGAAGAAGGGAGAGGATATAAAACAAACTTCAAGCTAGTTCCCAGAATAGCCTCTGTGATAAATAATTTGGATATTAACATCCATGTTTTCGGTTTCTTGGGGCCTGATAATAATTTTTTTTTTCTTATTCAATGAGAGAAATAGTATGTTAAAATTGAGTTTAGCAATGGAAACTGGAGAAATCCTTAACATCAAGATGAAGGAGTAGGGATTAACCAAGTGGATGAGTCACCTATTCTTAGGAATATAGCACTGAAGGGAGAAAAAGGCAGGTATTGCGATGTAGCAATGAGAGCATTTAGAAGAGGTGTTTGGACAATGAGAATGAACATGGGAGAAGCTGCAAGCAGAGGCAAAATTGTAATTTCTGTAGACATTTATACATGTACAGACATAAATATTCAAGACGGAGAGCAATCGGAACTAGTTAAAGGAAGTGATGAAAGTGTGAGAAAGAGCTAGAATAAGAAGGCTCTCTGATACAGATAAAATAATGGGGGAGGCGGGGGTGTTTACTGGAACACTTGCATGTATTAGAGGAGAAGATGACAGCCAACAAGTTCATAGCAGCAGATAAGAGCAAGAAAGACAGCCAGCATTTTGATGGAAGGATGACTGTTAAAGCCTGGAAAAGGAAAGAATTTGAGGGCCTGGATTTGTTGGCCCTTTCCAGAAATGGCTGCTTGTGTATCTGCTGAAGAAGAAAGTTTAGTCATCAGCAATGGAGGGGGAAAGGACTACAAAACCCAAATCTATCTTTCTCTCTCTTTTTTGTTTTTTTTTTCTCCTTTTCTTTTTCTTGTATTTCATTTGAGAGGTAAATACAAAGGAGGATGTGAGCAAGACAATAAAAGAACGTACAAAAGAAAATTGACATCAGATATTTTAAACAGCAAGAATGGTGTAACATGCTGCTTGAAGAATTGGGAATGGATGAGTTCATTCTCAAGGGGTAAAATTTATAGAAAAAAAGACAAGAATGCCCCAGAAGGAGGAGGAAGATAAAAAGCAGCTGGTGAAGGAAGTGCTGGTAGAGGTGTTAGTGAAGTACTCGCTTTCATGACTTATGTAGAGTTCTTTCCGGTTAATTATCCATGGAATAGAGTGTGGTTTTACTTGTTTTCTTAATATTTATTTCAGATTATTAGAAAAGAATCCAAACTCAAGCTAAAAGCTCAGACTGAACTGAGTGAAACTAAAGCAAGCTCAGCTGCAGATGTTCTAGTATTCGCTAATCAGTTTTAAAATCATTATCTTGTGTTTGCAGTGAAAGAAGGGGAATTATTAGAATGCATGATGTTAAATTATTCCAGTGTGCACACCTGCCTCTGGCTCACACTGCAAGGCTCAACATATTATTGTTTCTTCCTGGTAGTGTCTGTCTAATTAATAAATAAATGCTAAATATGAAATCTGTCTGGTAATGAGTACTAGCATGACAGTGCCATGCCCAGAGATGTTTTCCTACTCACAGTTGCAACATTTGACATCTGGTGTGCATTGTTTTCATACTGCTGGTAAATTCTCCAGCTGGTAATCTTGATTGCGCTGACAGACACAGCTGCTCTTCTTGGTTCACTTTTAAATTATGTTTTTGACCTTCATTGAAGAGTTAATCCCCCTCCCTTTCTTCCTGCTTTGAGTCTGTGGTCACAAATGCTTTCCAGAGAAAAACCACAAATGCTTTTGCTGCTGACTTCTATTGATCAAAAAAAGTCTTCTGTCATAAAAGCTGGAATTTTATTCTGCTACAACTAGGACTAAGTTATAGATGGAAAACTGGGCTTGAAATAGAACACAATGTATTGCAAGTAAAAAAAAAAAAAAATCCCTTTTCTTTAATAGACTAACTGTTTTGGTACAATTAATTTTGAGTGCTTGCCATGAAAGAATAATGGTATAAGAATTTATAAAAGTATAAAATACCACTTGTTTATGAGCACCATAGCAAAATGATCAGGCAGTGGCTTGTAAGGAAACATCTTGCTTTCCTGTTTTTCTAGGGTGGTAAAGAGCTTCAGTTTTTCTTTCTTTCATCAGTCTAGGACTCAAGTTTTATTCTTAAACCAAGGGGTTGTCACAGTGGCTGATTTTGGGCTGGTTCAATTTAATGAACATGAAAACGTATTTTATAGCACGACTTTTAGAAAGTGAGAAGCCTTTTAAGTGTCTACTGTTATGAATTAGACTAATATTAGAATCATAATTATATAAAGGGGTACATACTAAGGAAAAAAAGGATCCTGCTTTACAATCTTGGTGTGATTCTTTGTGCATTGGAGGTTAATGGATTTCATAATAGGACCTAGCAAATGGTGATTCTGAACCCCAGACAAAGATTGTGGAGGTATAGGAGGCCTTTCTTACAAGGCAAACACTTAGACACTTACAAGCTAGATACCAGCTCACCTGCAGACACTGCTATACTCGAGAGGTGGAAACCTACTCAACCAATTAACTATCAGCAACTCCTTAAAAGAAGAGTGGGACAGGAAAGCGGAATCGGAGACCTGAAGTGGTTTGTTCATCCTGACCTGCCGGTGCTTCTGGCTTTTCGCACTGTGAGCTCTCCAAGTACTGATTTGGATGTATCCTTGCAACAGGGGTTTCCTCCAGACTTAGAAAAGACTGGGTCCTGCAGCCGGCCGCTCACCTCCAAACTAGACTGCCTGAGTGCTAACTTTTGCCAGCCTAAATGTGTAAAATGGCTGAGCCTGCAGGAGCTGTGGAACAATTTTGCACTGTGACTAATAATTGTTTGATTTAAAGCATACTTTCTGGAAAGGTGTCCAGTCTTTTTTTTGGAAAACCAGTTGCCTGGAAAAGTCACCATTTCCTGTCGAACATTGGTTTAAAATGTTGAATGTTACTTTAAAAATACTGTGGAGGCTTGCCAGATGAACTAAGTTCACACCTTACTGCTGACACAGTAATCTCTGGCTGTGTGTCCTATTACTTGCCCTTAGCTCTCTTTCAGCACTGGAAAAGTATTTCAGCTCCTCCACCACTGATAGCACTGGCAATGCCATCTTCACTACCTGCATAGTGGATACCTCATTGACTTCCCTCTGATTCTTACGCCCTTGAACCCTTACATCACTGCCACAAGCAGCTGATCAAAGCGTATCCTTGCTGGTTCAACTGTACTCTTCCTTGCTTCCTGTCATCCCTCTTGACATGAGCAGTTTCATAATCACTTGGTGCCAATGTTTGTCACATATTGGATGTGGAAGGAAACAAAACTTTTCATCTGAACAGCTTTGACTCTTTTATATGCTTCTTGGAACTAACCTATACCACCTATTGCTACAACTTATCTGGGCTGGTGCCTGGGAGCCTCAGCTGTGATGAGCTTAAGGGAACAGATACATTCCGTTTTAGAAGTTGCCAGTCCCAGACTTCCTTCCTGAAGCCATACCGTGACAGACTGTTTCAGCATTAGGCCTGTTCTTTGGGAAGATGAATGGACTTCCCGAGATCTCCTGAAGCAAGTTCCTGCATTGCCGTCTATATGATGGTAGAATCATCACATAAGCTGACACTCAACTGTTTCTAGCCATTAGGCTGTTAGAATATTCTAGACTGCTGCAGAAGTTTCTGGCTGCAGCCGTGAGAATAGATAGACATTATTAGTCTGTGGACTTCCTCTGCACTTAGCCAGCTCCTTTTGTAGCAGTAATTGCTGCATCAGCAAAGGTTAAGACTTCTAGATTGAAGGACTGGGAGATTAAATATCTTCAAAAACTGAGGAGGTATGTTTTTTCTTTTTTGTTATTGTGATGTTGACTCACTAACTACTTGATATGAATTCAAGATCTTTGATAAGCAGTTAGCTCTTTTAGATTTCCTGCCCAAACTTTCTTCTCTTTCTGAGACACTAGTTTTCAGAATAATCTTCCAGATGGTTTTTTTTAATGGATCCATAATAGGTCCAACAGCTGATCATACCATCAGCTAAGAAGGTCATCCTGTTACCGGAGCTGTTACCTCTTTAAAGATACTCTGGCAGCTTTCAATTAATCAGTGCCAATTTTCCTGAACTGATTAGGTTACATTCTGAGAGCTTGAGCAATTGTGTTGTCACCATTGGGAAAATAGCTCTGTTGTGATGACTACAGCGTTGCTTCTTGGAGCTCTGTCCATACTGTTGCAGGCGATGTGCAATATTTGAGGTCTTAACAGTTGGGATAGCATTTGGTAGAGCAGTTTAAGTGTCACTTCGCATGAAGGGCTTTGAGACCTTCTGCCACGTAATTTGGGAGGGGGAGAAATAACTCCCTGAATTCACCCATAATGTGATTTTAGATGTAAATGGAGCACAGGAAGGAAAGGAGGTTAGTGGGTAGGTTACAAGTTAATTGACTCCTCTTAGTTACATAGTCTTCACATTTTCTTGTTCCTTGTCTGCTTGCCCAATGGAGGATGCTGCAAAGGGAAAGAATTTCTTGGATCTCAAATGACAGTGCAGCGTGTGCCTGCAATGTGAGTTCACATAGCAACTGCATCTCTTGAAGGTTCTGGCTATGGGTAGGCAGCCTTCCTTTGATTCAGTGTTGTGTATCTGTGCATAATCAAGCAGGAGCCCTTTTATCTCAGGCAGGGTCTGCAGAGTATTTGTTCACTCAAGTCCCAGGATATTCTGTGTGCGGAAAGTATAAGTGGGCAGGATGTGCCACAAGTTCTTTTTTCTTGGATCTCCCAAGTTTCTTATATTCTCTTAGTGATTTAGAGTAGTTGGTGGTGGATGATGTTTTTGCTTGAAAGTAGGTACTTCCTCACTGTGTTTTCAGTAGTGTTTGAAGTCCGAGTGCTTTCTTTCCAGTGAAAAATCCAATCTCAGTAACAACAATGTACACTTTTGGTCCTGTGTTATGTGTAGGTATTTGAAATAATTTATCACCTCAGTATGGTTCTTAGTACATATACATTAACTATATGATCTGTGTATAAATGTTGCTAACTTCTGCAATTATTGTAAACATTGCAATACTTTTGAGATACTCCTGTAGTTCAGCTTCACAGGTTTTAGGTTTTTGTAACAGCTAGATGACCTAGTCAATGAATTTCTAAAAATCTAGTTGTAATATTGAATGTAATCCAATTCAGTTGCCAAATTAAATCTCTCTTTGGCAGATACTCACTTCTTGTAACACGAATTAGTAAGCTTTATGTTATGGCAGATTTTAATATTGCAAAGCTACATATGCCATTCTTTCCATTTTCTAATGAACCAAATTCAAGTTGCTTTGCAAGATATGGGGTAACAGTAGCAGAGAGTGTTCCATATTGCTGTGTTTGAAAACATCCATCAGCAGCAACTGCTGTCTTCTCCAAATGTTGTGCTTGCAATCTGCAAACAGAAACTTTATCTTTGACAGTTAATTTCATTTTCCAGTATGAGGAAACATAGTGGACAGGGAGGCCATTTCCAGTTCACTTTCCCTGTTGAGATGTTAGGTGCCGTAATCAGATTTATTCACCTTTACTAACACTGTAAAATTTAGCAAAATTACTTCTCTCTCAGTTTGAAGTGATATATATGACAAACACTGATTGTAGTGATTATTGTTGGTTTTCTGATGATGGGCTTCTGTATTTTACTTTGTGAGTAAAAGGTCTGTGAAAGCCCTTTGTCAGGAGAAGGGCAGTTATCCAGTGCTCATTGGGTGAAGAAATATATCTTGGAAGAATCCTAATTCTAATTTAAAAATTAGTGGAAAAATTTACTGAGCCTGTTTAGTTAACAGATGTACTAAGTCAAATAATTCAGTCATTCATTTCAGACTACAGAGACAGTCTTTTAACTTCATGAGACAGGAAAAGTATATGTCACTGTTACACTTTTTTTTTTTTCTTTAATCTGCACTCTTGTCTGGAGACTGGGGAATCGGTCAGAAATTTTCACTTGAAAAGAACTCTGTGCATACAGTAGAGCATCCAGTTCTCTCCTAAAAAGAAGGTATTTATGTTTGTTGGAAATAACCTTCAGTGCTAAGATACCAGTTAAAATATTTGTCTCGTAGACCTTGATGGAAATTATGGGCCCTGAGATGGGAAGATAGGTTCAGTTTTTTGGGTTGAGTTCTTGCATAAAGCGAGTAGTTCTGGAACTCTCCTCATATTTGGCCGACATATTTTAGAATAGAGCAGAGAAGATGGGATTGTATATCCAGGTATGCAAAGATAAATGCAATAACCTGACTTAGCACCTGCAATTCAGAATGGTAAAATTCACATTTTAAGAT